AGCACCCCAGCTCCTAACCGCAGCGCTACCAGGGATCCTGTAGACCGAAGCAAGGGGGCTTCAACAGCAGAATAGATAAGCAAGGAAGTTGTAGAATCTCTAATGTCCAATCCGAGAGATTTTTACAGAATCCAAGACTGCGAGGAAGGTCTCCCTGAGGAGGCAGTTCTGACAAACCAAGGTCCTGACCTGTCTTCCAGTTCAATGCAGTCTACTCTTTCTATAAGCAGCCTTCCTTAAAATCAGAAGGTAAAATACAAAAGACAACCATGAATGCCCAACTTGGGAAACCCTCTAAACCTTCCTAGGTAGGTCACCGTTGGCTCTGAGAATTTTCTTAACCACCACAATTAGTTTCCGCGTCTTTCTGTAGGGTTCTTACAGATAATGGCAGGCGTGACAAACAGCCCAAGGCTGATATTGAGATCATTGCGGGTCACAGTCCAACAGGACCTACTTCCTTGACATGTCTGTTAACACAGACTTCCAACATGCAGGTATCCTGGAGGTCTATGTCGGAAAAGAAGACACAGACAAAGGGAAATGAAGGTCAGTTAGAGAAGGCCAGGATGGGCCATCTGAAGTCCTCTCGGGGAGTCTGGGATCAAATATCATAGGACTCATGGTGGCCAAGCTTGCTGCTGTATGGAAAATGCTTACTTGAAATCAAAAGCAATGAAGGGGAAAAAAAAAAGCAATGAAGAGATATCAGAGACAGACAGAGCACTTTAGCTTCTGTTATCTGGTAGTAACGGGTCAAACTCTGGATCCAGCCATGCTTGAAGCCTTTTGACGTAGTAGTTTTATGAGACAATGCATTTGTTGTTGTTTGTTTTTTCAAATACTTTGTGACTTTCCTCTGAATAACCCTAAATAGCACAGGTGTGGGGAAGGCTGAGGGGGCAGGACCTGAGACAATGGACCATGCTACGTGGATGGGTGGATGGGCAAAATGAATCTCGTCATTGTAAGTAAGGGAGGCCAGGAGACCATTGAAGCAGAGAGGAGAGAGAGGGTAGCATTTCAGTGGATGCTAAAGGAGATGGAAAGAATTGTTGGTGTAAGAATGCCTACCTCTTTATTCCCTGGACACTGTGTGGCCAACCCTTCTCTGCTATTAAACACCCGACTTCTTCAGTATGGTGTGAAATGTTCCCAGTGGGTGAGAATCCTGGTTCATTCTTTGAAGAGATATTCAACTACAGACATCATTTTCTGCAGGCTTACCCTACTCTATTACTTTAGTGAAGCCCTTGATTTTCATAAAACAGGACATTTGCCGTACCAAAGAATTAGCAGGAACTAAATCTAACCTCCTCTATTCTGGGTAGCTCCCTGTGCTGCTGAGGATCCGTGAATACTAAAAGGGTGGCATTTCCTTCACTCTCATTACCCCAGTCCCGACTTAACCAGCGAGCTTGTTATCAGATAGTTCACATTTATGACCACGGTGGACAGTTTACTGCTTTGCATATTAAAGAGTGTATCTGGCGGTAGCGAATGTTGAGGTGCAAGGTTGAGAATGATGCTGGCTAGGCTGGTTCAGGTTATGTGTCAGTTTGGCTGGGCTGTGATTCTCAGTGGTTTGGCACTTACATAATGTTGTCACCTGGCAGTTAGGTAGTGATGGAATCACCTTTCGTTTGGGGATCTGCTGTGGCCATCCTCCATTTTTCCATTGTGTCCACTTTGGACCCTAACCATATTGCATCACTTGGGACCCTAACCATATTGGCAAGTGAGGAGTAGGTGCTACCTTTTGACTTGGAGACTCTTTTATTAGAGCGACCATTTAGTTTACTTTTCAAAAGAATAGTAATTCCCTTTCCGGAGTCACACTGACATAGAACCCATTATGAGTCACCCATTATCACAGAACCTCAGCTTTGTTCAAATTATAAGCATTAGTGGACATCTCTTCTGGGAATTCAAAGAACCAGCAACCGTGGGTGACTGTGGCTTGTTGTTAGGGGGAGAAAACAGAAATGCTTTATGTTCCGTTTTAGCAGAGACACCACGACTAGTTAGTGATTGTCGTTCGTATGGGGTTCCTACTGATCTTCCAAATTTTGACAGTCACTCAGACCACTCACTGGGTGGAATAATCGTCCCAAAGGGAACAGAGAGGGTACAACTTAGATCATAAAGTGGAATTGAACACATGAGAGGAAAGTATTAACAGGCGTGGTAGAAGAGGTCCTTGTCAGAATAAACGAGCCGATTACAGACACGAATTAGACGTCAACTGTACTGGTGACAAGAACACCACTGTAAAATGGTGCAATTACAAGGTTAAGCATAACTCAGAGAGCATCTTTCTCTTGCTGAAAACAGGTGCAAATCCCCCAGTGACTTGCTAGAGAGCTTGGGTATTATCTTGCCTTGTGGGGCCATTTTAGAATCTATTATTGCCACACCATTGGACATTATATGCTGTTATTAAATATTGAACATCAATGGATGCCTTTCAACCATGGCTCATGAGCTCACCCTGGCCGCCCTGTGTTCCAAGAGTCAGAGGAACCCAGGGCCAGAGCCACTTCTCCCTGTGCAAGAGCAGTTCACCATACAATTAGCAACCAATGAGCAACGGCAAAGTTAGCTCTTTCTGACATTTTCTGGGGGACCATGGGGCCAGGGAGATAAAAGTGAGAATTTAGACTATGGCTTTGAGTAGGATTGCCTAATGTTATGCACTTCCCAAGGATACCCATTCATACAGAGTCTACGTGGGTCTATTACTGTGCCCAATCTTTCAGAGATGGATGCCCCCTTTCTGCTTATAGATTCCTGAGAAGTAACATGTCCACTATAATCACCGGCAAAATAGATGGCATTTTAAATAAGCAGCATGCAATAAAAAGTAGTCTTTTAGGAAGCTTTCTGAAACAGACGATAGGATTGCCCCTCAGGTGCTCCTTCCCATCTGCCGTTCTCCCCACAATCCCCAGCCCTCATGACCACCATCGGACTGCCTGCAGGGAGCACTCCAGGGACCCCTAGACTCTCACTCTGGGGGAAAGGGACCTGCCCTTCAGGGAATCATGTACCCATGTGAATTTCAACCCTGGCTCTTCCATCTTCTCTACACTGAAAACCAGGGTTAATCAAGTGGTAATGAAGTCTCAAAGGGCAGTGAAAGTACACAAGTCACTTGGCGTTCACATCCAAATGAGATAAGCAATTCCCTTCTGATCAGCTCCTAACGGTTAACCCTAACATCACCCTCAGAGTCGATGTTTTTCATCTGCCACTTGCTATGTCTTGCATTTTTCTGTCTTGTTTCCGTCTGCTCACTCATTGAAATCTGCGTGCTCCTGTACCCTCTTCTTAACATCTCCTTGCCTCCATGTTAAATGCCTGTTTGCTCATACTTCTGCATGAATGCTTTTGAGGAAGATTTGTTTTATAGACACTGAGTAGAGTTTAGATGCCCTACAGTTTGAAGAAGGAGCCTCAGGGGCACAGTGCTCAGGTGCTCATCTGCCAACCAGAAGGTGGGGGTTTGCGCCCGTCAGTCAGCTGCTCTGCGGGAGGAAGATGTGGGAGTCTGCTTCCGTGAAGCTGACAGTCTAGGGGACCCTACTGGGAGGTTCTAGTCTGTCCTACAGGGTTACTGTGAATTGGAGTCAACCTGATGGCCATGGGTTTGGCTTGGTTTTGCCCCAGTTTTTGAATGATTTTTCTCTTGCACCATTGGTTCTTGATAGAAAAAGATGTTTCTCTTCTTATTTCACACCCTATTCATTCATTTTTTTGAACCATGGAATTATTCCTCAGCCATCTCTTTTCTATAATAATTGCTCTCCCTCACTGTCTTTACCTTCTAGCATCGTCATCAGGTCTACCGATCCCTTTGAAGGAGGAGGTCAGCTTGGTGCCCCGCCCTGGATGAGGACATGGTCCCTCCTTGAGAAGCTGGTGCATGGAGGACAAGATGCGCTGCTTCCTGGTTTGGAGACACAGGTGTGTGGTCTTACAGGACTCACGTCTCCTGAGGTCTCATTCCAAGCTAAGTAAACCTGGGTGGGGCTGTGGCTTCCCATGCCCCACACAGCAGACCCGAGCTCTGCTCATTTTCCAGAATGACAAGCTAAGAGAGGGCTAGCACGAACAGAATTCCACCTGGGATCTTATGACGGCACAGACACTCCCCCTCTATGGTGACGCGTCTGTGCTTCACGCAGCAGCAGACGGAGGTCTGGGACCTCCCTAGCCCCATGCGACCAGCTGGCCCACGAGAGACTTACTCTGCGCTGTAGACAGGTTGGAGAAAGCGGCCTTGGTTCGGCCGGCCAGCCACTCCAGGCTTTCGTGCATGTTGGCCAGGGCCTTGAGGTCACTGACGTCACGCAGAATATCTTGTGGCGGGATCAGCTTATCGCCCAGGTTCCCAATAAGAACTTCCGACTCCTTGCCGAAGGCTGCCCTGGAAAACACATCAGAAACACAGTTCACGTGCAGCACAGAGGGCCCAGGTGGGGGGACTGCTGGATCTGGTTGTTGCCATCACTCTTTTCGACCATGCAGCCGCTACCCGTTTGCCAGCATGTCTGACGGCATTTGCCGGCATGTTGCCGGGACCGCTAGAAGCTCTGCCAACATCTTTCAAAGATCAGTAGAGCCACCCAACGGGGCTCAGCAGAGCCTCCAGACTAAAGCACACTGGGTCCATCAGTCCAGGAGAGCCCCATGGATAACGGACTCAGCATGCTAAGGGTTGAGATGACGCAGCAGCGGGCAATGTTTCGATCTGTTGGGCGTAGACTTGCCAGCAATGAACAATATCGGCCCTGGGTTTAAGTGTGTGCAGAAACAATCCTAGGACTGCTTAGACGTATTCTGGCAGGGAAAGAAAAGTCCTGGTAGGGGAGAGAGAGTTCTTGAAAGTCAATAGTGGCAACCCAGGTGGCAGTCCCTTCAACGGGAGCCAGAGAGGACGGCCCCGGGCAGCGGTGCTATGGGGATGCAGCTGGGCCAGAGCTTGGTGGGTGTTCTGCCTCTCGTCCTGCTAGGGTGGCTAATGAACAGCTCTAGGTGGTACACATGTACGTCGTCGTCGGGAGCCGAGGGCCATAAATCAACCAACCAAGTTAATCCGGCCAAGGCGAAAGGGGCCCGGCCTCTTTCAGAGAGCAGTTGGTGGCTGAGATGGATGGTGGGCTCCGCTCACTCAGTCACTCATGCACGCTCCGGCGGGAGCCCAGGCAATAAGCTACCGGGCACTGCGGGCATTCATCATCCAGAAAGAGAAGTCATTACCAAGTCAATGCTGGACTTTGGCTTCGCTAGGAAAATACAACCAGGAAGGTTTCACCCTCCCCAGCCCAGCGCCCTCAGTGGGGTTTTCTTCGCGTGAAATATCAAGTTATCTGGGGTGACAGAGGATGGATGGAAGGGGCACGACTGACCACAGGCAACAGCCTCTGCTCTGATGGAGAGATGGAGGCGGCCGCAGGGGTGGGGGCCGTCTGCCCAGCCGGGGCCGGGGTGGCCTCATCCCCACAGGCCCCTTCCTTACAAAGAAGGACAGAGCTGGAACGAGATGGAGGAGGGTCCTAGGCAGAGAAAGCGTGTTCTTTCTAGAGAGCTCCCCACAGGCAGAAAGCTGATGCCGGTGGAGGGTGTCAAGGCACCAACGGAGCTTTCTGTGCGTCCCAGGGGTTCCAGATTCAAGGGGCTGCATGTGGGAAGAGGTGAGGGGCTACTGACACCAAGCAAGTCCAATTGCAGCCAACCAACCAGTTTTCATGGCGGCTGGCATGTGCTGGACCTCCAGTGCCAGCCAGCATGCAGCAGTGACGCAGGCGGTGGGGGCTCACTGCGTCTTAGAAAGGTGGCTGCTCCCAGCAGAGGCTTAGATGCCCAGCATCTTGTACAGAAAGGGCACAATTGGTTAGCAGCTTTGGGTAAGTTGTGGCAGGAAGTTGCAGGGGGCTGTGCACACTGAGTGTGTGGACACATCCTACCCCAGGCGATTGTGCGCGGTGGGCCCCCGCACTCTGACTGTGGGACCAGTTTGCAGGCGGTGCTGAGGACCATGCTTCCTCTGCGTAGCCAGGGTCAGTGCACAGGTATCCAGGTCAGACAGCCCTGGGTGGCCACTCACGGGCTCTGACCCTGAGCTGTGGCTTACTGCCTCTGAGGATCCGATGGGGTGACAGTAAGGATCTTAGTTGAAGTCATTGGATCAAGTGATGAATACTGTTCCCCCCCTACTGTGCACATTTCAGCCACAATGCATCCGTGCATCTTCTAGCTTTGACTATGGGGGTCCCTGCGGGCTCACATGGCTAAGTGCTGGGCTACCAATGGAAAGGCTGCTGGTTCAAACCCACCCAGCAGCGTAAGGTCTGGCGATGTGTTCATAGGAAGGAAGTGGCAGCCTTGGAAACCCCACAGGGCGGTTCGACACTCCACACGTGGCTGCGCCAGAGCTTCAGCCGTTAGCCGGCCAGCGACGTCTCCTTTCAGCTGCACGTACCGGCCTCCAGCCCACTGGATCCGATTAAAGTAATTCATTCCGGTCATGTTTTCAAGTGCATAACAGAGGGAATGGAAATTAGGAACAGCTAGTTAAGTCCACAGAGCTTCTATGGTGGCGTAGAGGTTCCGCATTCTGCTCTGATCCACAAGGTCTGCTGTCGAAACCACCAGCTGCTCCGAGGGAGAAAGGCCGGGCTTTCTACTCCCATAAAGAGGGGCAGTGTCAGGAACGCACAGGGACAGCTCTGCCCTGTCCTATCGGGTCTCTATGAGTCGGCATGGACTCGATGACAGGGAGTTTGGTTTTGTGTTTTTAGGACAAGCCTCGGCATAAAGTCGATTCCGACCCCTCGTGATCCCTCCTGCGGCTGTCAGTCTTTTGGGGAGGACACAGCCTCGTCTTCCTCCCACGGAGTGGCTGGTGGGTTTGCAGTTCAACACTTAAAAGCTAGCAAGTTCTACCTATTTTTTCGCCTGAAGCATGTGGAGAGGAACAGTGTGTTTGTGTGATCCCGAAGATATATGATGCTGATCAGTACAAAAAGATGTTATACATAGATGAGTGAGATTTCCAGGTCTAGAATGACAATGGACATTTACAACATCGGAGCCAAGGCCACGCCGTCTCTGAGTGCAGACTTACCAGGATCTCTGCGTGGGAGATGACTGCCACAGAAACCACTAATTGAACGATGCCCTGCCTGCATAGTAAAAGGATGTCGATGTTGTTGGCATTGGCCCCAGGACCAGCACAAACACCCAATGCCTCATGAAATCTCCCAGCCTCCTTTGCAGATGTGGTAACTAATGAGGTGTCCAGAGAAGCCCTAGGTGGGGCTGCCGGGAAGCGCCTGAAAGGTCTCACCCCACCTAGCCAGGACCTCTTTGTCTCCCCACTTTCTGGAAGGCAAGGAGTCCTGGTGGCGTAGTGGGTTATGCATCAGGCTGTGACCACGGGGGCTGCAGTTCAAACCACTAGCTTCTCTGAGGGACAAAGACGAGGCGTTCCGCTCTCGTAGAGCATTACAGTCTCAGAAGCCAATTGGGGCAGTTCTACCCTGTCCTGTAAGGTCGCCGTGAGTCAGCATGGACTCGATAGCAGTGTGCTTGGTTTTCCGGTTTGCTGGAAGACAGCAGTCGATTCTATCCTGCAGTACTTCATCCTCAACCTTGAGGTGACCTTGAATGTAGCAGTCAGCCCGGAGGACTGGCTGGGTGCACAGATGCCATCACGGAGCTGTGGTCCAGTGCCAGGATGCAGACCTCTGCCCGCCACACTACAGGAGAGACCAATCCCCCCCTGCCCCCGGCCCCCACTGAGCAGAACAGCTCAAGGTCATTGCTAATTCACCTGCTGATCGATTTCACAGACATGATGTCATGCCCGGAAAACGTTCTCCGGATTTAGATATTCCTAAAATCCAGTTCCCGGGGAGAGCAACACAAATTCTTCTCCAGGCTTGGAGCACAGCAGACAGTTAGACTATCATCCCCTGGGCTGCCACTCAGCCGAGCTGTAAATATTTAGTTTGCTTAATCTGTCCTTCTATAGCACAGTGCTGGCCCCTTTATCGTCTCTGATAGATGGAGTACGCCCTGCCCTGGGCTGCAGAATCAAGGAGCAGCAGGAGAGGCAACCAGCTTTGAAAAAAAAAAGGCAGGGCGTGGGCTGGGGGAGGGCTTGCAGCTGTTTTTTCTGTGCATAGGTGTCGCCTTGGGTGGAATGTGATGTGACAATCAAAGACAAATGTATTTATGGAAAAGGCTCGATTGGCTGTATGCGTGGGCCTGGGCTCTTCTGGCCCTGGACAAGTCTGCTCACTGATCTGGGGGACCCCTCTGACGGGAGACCACAACACCCAGGGTCTCCTGCCTGGGAACAGGGTACACGCAGAATGCATCTCACTTGGCAGCAAACCCTAACTTCCCCCAAGATGCCAAGGAGAGCCGGGGAGCCACGACATGGGGAAAGGCTGCCTGCCAGCCTTCCCTATTCCACGTGTAAAACGATCCCTTTGAAGGTTTGTGTGTCAGAGAACACCGGGACGGGCTTTTCAGTGCTACCAGATGCTGAAAGGGGATGGCTGTGGCTATGCTGTGACCACAGATGTGTCCCCAAGCCCTCTGATTTACGACAGAAACCAGGGTACAAGCACAGGACAAAAAGCCATGCGGTGGTTGGCGAGGATACTTGGCCCCCTGGAAACGTATTTGTTAGGGCTTTCTTTCAGCCATCACACGCAGTTGCATGATGTAAGCTGGCATACAGCTGTGGCACCAGATGAGATGGGGAAGATTTTATATATATATATATATATATAATTATATACATATTATATATGAAAACCGAAAGAAGACGGGGCAAACAGATGCAGAATGTTAGCCGTAGGATAGGATCGGGCTCTACGTGTGCCTATATTTGGCGGTTTTCAAAGAACAGGCTTAAAAAGGAAGGGAAGCCCATTGTGCAGGAGACAGCCTTTGACATGGACATGTCAAGAATCCGCTACTTGAGTCAAAGTGGGAGGTGGCGTGGGTGGGTGGCCTGCTCAGGATGGGCTCAGGCTCTTGCTTCTTGGAGGACCACGGCCATGTCCACTTTCTAGATCTGAGTATTTTCTGAAGTGGATTGGGTCCCCCCTTCACCCTCTTCCTCACAGCCCCAAAGATGTATCAGCTTGGATAGGCCATGATTCTAAGTGTGATGTGATTATCCCTCGTTTTGGTGGTTTGATGTAATTACTTATGCCTTGTAAATCCTAACCTCTGTGTTCATGAGGCAGGACTAGGGCAGTTATGTTAATGAGGCAAGAAGAATGACAATATCAGGTTGTGTCTTGAGTTCATCGCTTTTGAGATGGAAAGAGATTAAACAGCTTTGGGGTGTGCTGGATGAGAAATACAGGTAAAAGGGGGAGAAGAGATAAGTGTCGTGCAGTCTTG